CAAGGGGGTAAGGTCATAGCATATGCATCTCGTCAGTTGAAGCCACATGAGAAGAACTATCCTACCCATGATTTAGAACTAGCAGCCGTAGTGTTTGCTTTGAAGATTTGGCGTCACCATTTGTATGGAGCTTCTTGTCAGGTTTTTACAGATCATAAGAGTTTAAAGTACTTGTTCACTCAGAAAGAATTGAATATGAGGCAGAGAAGATGGCTTGAGTTGTTGAAAGACTACGACATGCAAATTCAATATCACCCAGGTAAAGCTAATACCGTAGCCGACGCTTTGAGCAGAAAGATGGTTGGAAATTTGGCCTGCCTAACCACGATCTCAGTGGAGCCGACTATTGTTGAGGAAGTAAAGACAAGACAGATGGAGGATGAATTCTTCAAGAAGGTAGCCGATGAGATTATCACAAACCCGAGATCAGGGTACACCATTGAAAATCAAGTGCTCAAGTTTGAAGGAAGATTGTGTATGGCCGAGGTCCCAGAGTTGAAAAGAAAAATTTTGCAGGAAGCTCATGGTTCCAAATTTGCTGTTCATCTAGGGAACACCAGGATGTATCAGGATGTAAAGCAAACGTTTTGGTGGCCGAATATGAAAGAAGAAATAGCCGAGTTTGTGTCCCAGTGTTTGCATTGTCAACAAGTGAAAGCAGAACATCAAAGGCCAGCAGGGCTTCTCCAACCTTTGCCGATTCCTGAGTGGAAATGGAAACACATCTCCATGGACTTCGTGGTTGGTTTTCCGAAGACACAAAAGGGTATGGATTCGATTTGGGTTATCGTGGATAGACTAACTAAGTCAGCACACTTCTTGCCTGTTAAGACCACCTTCAACGCCGATCAACTTGCTTTATTGTATGTGAATGAGATTGTTAGACTTCATGGAGTGCCGATGTCCATTGTGTCAGACCGAGATCCGAAGTTTGTTTCCAAATTTTGGCAGAGTCTACAAGGAGCTTTCGGAGCCGAGTTGAGGTTTAGCACAGCTTTTCATCCCCAGACTGATGGGCAAATAGAAAGGACAATTTAGACACTTGAAGATATGCTTAGACTATGAGTATTGGACTTCCAAGGAAGTTGGGGCGTACATTTGCCATTGGTGGAATTTACCTACAACAACAGTTATCAAGCTAGCATTGGCATGGCGCCGTATGAAGCATTGTATGGAAGGAAGTGCAGATCGCCGATATGCTGGACCGAGGTAGGAGACAAAGCTATACTTGGTCCCGAGTTAATCCAAGTGACAACCGAGAAGATTAAGCTCATTCAGCAAAGAATCAAAACTGCTCAGAGTCGACAGAAGAGTTATGCCGACCAAAGAAGAAGGGAGTTAGAATTTGAAGTCGGGGATCATGTATTCCTAAAGATTTTGCCGATAAAAGGAGTTACAAGATTCGGGAAGAAGGGTAAGTTAGCACCCCGTTACATCGGACCTTTTGAAGTTCTTGAGAAGGTTAACCTCGCTGCCTACAGACTTGTTTTGCCGCCAGAGTTGAGCCAAGTCCATAATGTGTTTCATATCTCGATGTTGAGAAAGTATATTCGAGATCCACTGCATGTGATCGACTATTTTGGGATTGTAGTTAATGAGGATTTAGGCTACGAAGAGAAGCCAATACGGATTATCAATAGGCAGGTGAAACAATTGAGAAGTAAGGCGATACCAATGGTGAAAGTTGACTGGAAGGAGCATTACGGTGAAGATGCTACTTGGGAAATGGAAGAGGAAATGAAAGTCCGACATCCAGAATTGTTTCTGGAACAAGGTAACTCAAGTTTGGGGACCAAACTTCTTTAAGGGGGGTAGGATATAACAACCCTCACCCCAACTTAGTTGTACTTGCATACGTTTATGTATGATCTTGTCTTGTCATGTTGCATTTGCAAATCTTGCCTTGCTTTGCTTGAGTGTTGCTCGCATACTTTGTCCTTGCCTGGTGTGTTGCCGAGGTCGTCCTTAGCCTAGTCACCTTTGAACCCCTTTTACACTTAGCAGTACCTTGGAATCACTTTGGTTGACCTCCATCTTCGCCCTGGCATATTGGCCGAGATGTCACTATCTAGGCCAAGGTGTGCAGCACCAAGGCCGAGATGTGTATTATCTAGGCCGAGATGTTGTCCTTGCACCTAAGTGATCTTGTTCCTGGATTGGTATGACCTAGACCGAGGTGTGGCACATCTAGGCCAAGGTGTGGCACAGCTTAGTCAAGTGTTGTCCTCCCAAGCCGATGTCACTATTACCCTACTTGCCGAAGCTTTGTCCTTAGCCGAGATCATCACTTGCTGGAGTGCTCTTACTGTCTAAGCTTGTTGAACACACTTTGTCATAGTCTTGTCTTGTCAAGTCAGTCACCTTTTGGTGAGGAACCAATCAGCTAATGCCACGTGTCCCGGCAGAGGGTTAAGTCTGTGACTGTTGAGAAAACATATCATTTTGTATCAAATCGTGCCTTTTAGAGAGAGAAGCTCTAGGGAGAAGAGGAAGAAGTTTTGAGTGAGAGAGTAGACTTCCAAGCTTGATCGTTGGAGTTTGAACCGTTAGGTTCGAGTTTTGAGGTTAGAATCTTAATCTACTCTTGTTGTTTTTATTGATCATCCAGTTGCATTGCACGATCGAATCTGTTCTGCATGCCATGCATTGATTTAAAGTTAGTTTTAGAAAGAGAAGATAGTGTTCATGAAGAAAAGTCTTGTTTTGATCCGAAAGTTTGTATCAAGAACCATGTTTTTGTGTTTGTCTTCTAAAGATCTTCAAGTATGGGCACCCAAGTCCATGTTTTCGAACTCATAGCATGAAATCTCAGATTTTTGTAATAACAAGCCATGATTTAAGCATGCATGTTCTTCATCTTCTTCATCTTCCTGTTCGTTATGTTCTTCAAAGGGAAACCCAGATTTTCCCGACTTCACTTTTGAATGTGGCCGTCGGGACCACACCTCGGCGAGAAGGTGTGGGACCTCGGCCAAGACCTGGTTGGTGCCCAGCATGTTTTCCCGTGATGAGAAACAGTGGTTGTGTGGTTCGATTTAGTTTTGAAGAATGCCGGGATCATTGCATTCATGTAAAGCTTGTTTTGAGAATGCATTTCATATCCATCTTTGAGCATCTCTTCTTGTCTACTTGAAGTTCCTTCAGTAGTATTTGCCATGTGATTATAGGTCTTTGATCTTTGCCTTGAGCCTACACCCGAAGAACTATGTGAGTGGTATTTTTAATAAAGCTATGTTATCATGTTTTGATAAGCTTTGCTTTGCTTTGTTTTGAAAAGTATTTGATCAAGCATGAATGATTATCCCTATTTTTTGTATCAAGTATTAGCTTTGTTTTGGATGACATTCTTGGAAAGTCCTTTTTGCTGGGGGACTCTAAACTTTTGCAGTACAAGTCCTTTTCGTGTTAGAGGACTTTAAGCCTTTGTAACATAGGTCCTTTGTGCTAGAGGACTCTAAACTTTTGTAGCACTCTTGTTTGAGATATCTCTCTTGCCACCGACGGCCTTGTGCGGGTGGGTTTGTTTAATCAATTCCGGGTCGATTATTCCCTTGTTTTGCCACTGACGGTTTACCGCGTGGGTTTGTTGTTCAGTATGTCATCATTTTGAAATATGTTGATGCTAGTAAGCATCTCTTGGAACTTTGAAAGATTTGATGGATGATCTTGGTTCATCCTTGATTTGTATAAGTTATGATATTTATTGTTTTGAGAAGACTTCGGCTATTATTCATGCAAACCTTTATTACTTGTACCATTCACTGAGTATCCAAGTTCACCCTCTTTATATATATATATATATGTAGGAGATGAGCAGGACGGCGGCGATGCCTAGATGTGTTTTACAAGCTTGTTTTGGATTCATGTTATGTCGGTTCGATTAGTTTTTATGTCGGCAATCTTGAAGATTATGCTTCTCGACTTGTAATACTTGTATTTTGCATACGTCGGCTTGAGAAGCCTTTTGATCAAGATGTAACGTGTTTTTGTTTATTAATCAACCGATTGTAAAATCATATTATGTATGTCATTTCATTTGATCTATGCACAGCTCTTTTGGACCACTTGGATTTTAATTTACTACTTCCGCATTTGTAAGCCCCTTATTTATACTCTGTGTGTGTGTGAATCCTCGTAAGAGGCCTTGGTAATCTCGGATTACCGGCCATCATGACACCATCCTACTAGGGCTGGTTTGGGGTCGTGACAGCAAACAAGTGGTGGTTCAAGGGGTAGGCAACTTAGGCGCCCAATTAGGCACTTTAAGTAGAAGAGGGCCTTACTTACTATATATATACATAAAAGACCTTAGAGGATTTGGGTGAGTGAACATGCAATTTTACCAAGACCTTTCACTAAATTAAGCTGAAATTCAACTCTTAGATAAGTTTTGTACAAATTTCAAACCACAACTAGATTATAAGATTGCTAGTAAAATTTGTACAAGACTTAAGTTAGAATGGTGTGAACAGGGAATTTTACAAAGCCTTCATGGCATGTTTTGACAGTTTTCTTCCCATGAATTGCAATGTTTCTAGAGTAAATCGAAATCCTAAAATTTATCAGTCCAAGAAAAAGAAACAAAAAACCAAAGACAAAAAAAAGAGAGAGAGAAAGAGAAAACTTTAAGCAATCAACTCTAATTTGTTCTTAGTCTACTTTCTTTACCTTGGTCTTGATAAAGCTGATGCAAATAAAGAAGTAGCAGCACCAATGTGATCCTCTTGGTTACCGGCAACTGTGATTGCTCTTGGTGCAACAGGAGTTGTGAAGCTATAATCCAAATTGCTTTGAACATCTACAGAACCTTCCAAGACCTTCACAACTACCGACATAGAAGGCCTCCTGGAAAAATCACTTTGTAGACAACACACAACAATCATCATCATCTCCACAACTTCTGCTCTATGTGTTTGCATGTCATCATTGTATTTATCAACGATATCCAGAAGTCGTTCCTCTTCTGCTTTCCTCTTAAACAGACCTAGTAGATGCATATCTCACTCAGGTTGAGACCTATCCAAATTTTTGCGCCCACACAACATTTCCAAAATCACGACACCAAAGCTATAAATATCTACTTTCTCGGTAATAATTGAGCTCAACCATTCAGGAGCCAAATAACCTGGTGTTCCCCTCATCATTGTTACAACTTGGCTTTGGTCCTTATCAATTAGTTTTGACAATCCAAAATCAGAAATTTTCGCATTGAAGTCTTCATCTAAGAAGATGTTTTGGAGTTTGATATCCAAGTGAAATATCTTTTGCCTACATTCCTCATAGAGATAGGCTAGTCCCTTGGCTATATCCATGATGATCTTCCTTCTGGATGGCAATCCAAGAGTGAGCTCTTGGTGCTTTTGAAAGATCCATTGGACATGTACTCATAAACTAGAAGTCGATATGATTTTTTAATAGAAAATCCAATTAATCTCACCAAATTGACATGGTGAATGTTGCCTATTGTCTCAACTTGAGCTAAAAATGACTGCTTAACTTGACCAAAACTGTCACGACCCAAACCCGCCCCTATAGATTTAGCGTCATAACCAGCCAGTAATCTTTGGATTACCAAGGGCTTCATAACATAATAATGTATAATTAGGGGCTGTGGAAGTAAATACATAAAATATACATAGTTCATCGAGCTGTGAAGACATACATGGGA